ATGAGGAAAACATTGACAATGCCCAACAAGATGATCTGGCTCAGTACCACCTGGCTAGAGATAGAACAAGAAGGGAAATAAGACCACCAACAAGGTTTAGTTATGCAGACCTCATCTACACAGCTCTGCTGGCTGGTGTAGAGATCCAGAGGACAGAACCTAACTCTTATGAATAGGCCATCAACTCAAAAGACAGAAAAAATTGGCTCACTGCCATGAATGAGGAGATGGACTCTTTAAGGCAGAACAAAACCTGGATTCTGGTCCCAAGACCCAAAGATGTCAAACTAGTGGATTGTAAGTGGCTGTACAAGCTAAAGGAAGGCATAAACAAAACTGATCCACCAAGGTATAAGGCTAGGTTAGTAGCCAAAGGCTACACCTAGCGAGCAGGTATAGACTTTACTGAGATTTTTTCACCTGTTGTTAAATTCAAAACTATAAGATTGATGTTATCTATAGTAGCCCATTATGACCTAGAGTTAGAGCAGTTAGATGTAAAAATTGCATTTTTGCATAGGGAATTAGAAGAACAGATTTATATGAGTCAACCCATGGGGTTTAAGGATAAACAGTTCCTTGATCATGTATGTTTGCTGCATAAATCTCTATATGGACTTAAACAGTCACCTAGGCAGTGGTACAAGAGATTTGACTTCTTTATAGTAGGCATAGGATTTATTAGAAGTGAGCATGATAATTGTTTCTATTTTGCACATGTGGATACAAATCCTGTATATTTGTTATTATACATTGATGACATGCTATTAATTAGTAAATCTAAGGTCCAAATTGAGGAGTTGAAAGGAAAATTGCATGCTGAATTTGACATGAAGGATTTGGGCTGTGCTAAGAAAATTTTAGGTATGCTAATAGAAAGAAACAGGAAGAATTATAGTCTAAAACTGCACCAGATGCCTTATCTTCAAAAACTTGTGTTAAAGTTTGGAATGAGTGACTCTAAATGTGCCACAATGCCCCTAGCTAGTCACTTCATCCTGAGTAAAGCCCAAAGTCCTAAAACAGAACCTGAAAGACTAAAAATGGAATCCATACCATATGCAAATGCTATCAATTCTGTTATGTATTCTATGATCAGTACAAGACCTGATTTATCATATGCAATATCACTTCTAAGTAGATTCATGTCAAATCCCGGATGTGATCATTGGAATGCTTTGAAATGGCTTCTGAGATATATTAAAAGTACTGAAAATGTTGGTCTAAATTTCTGTAAAAGAAACTCCTCACTTGATTTGGTTGGGTATATAGATTCTGATTTTGCAGGTGATAGAGATTCCCGGAAATCCACCACAGCATACCAGTTTATTTTGGGAGGCAATTGCATCAGTTGGAAGTCCCAATTGCAGCCACTGGTAGCACTGTCCACAACTGAAGCTGAATATGTGGCTATAACCGATGCATTCAAAGAAGCCATATGGCTCCAAGGATTCCTGAAAGAGGCCAAGCTACTGGATGGAACTATGACTATCTATTCAAATAGTCAGAGTGCCATTCATCTGGGAAAGAACCCTGTGTACCATGAGAGAACCAAACATGTTGACGTAAGGTATCATTTTGTGAGGGATATGATTTCCAAAAGATAAGTAAACCTGCTGAAGATCCCAACCGAAAACAACTCAGCAGACATGGGAACCAAGGTTGTAACACTTGCAAAGTTCAAGCACTGCTTGAACTTATTGCATGTGGGATAACCTATTTGAACTGTGAAGGAATATGGAAACTGCTTGCTGCATAATGAATATACAGCCAGAAGAGACAACCACAGACTTCAAGGTGGAGATTGTTAAAATGGTGAAGTCTGCGACGTCGTTTAGAGCCAAGCAAAAACGCTGTCGTTTCGTTCATTAAACTCCAGTTAATCTCAACCATTCAATTAAACATGATTCGATGGCTCCAGTCCAATCAAGTCAACAATATAAAAAGGGAACTATTCACGCATTTGGCAGACAGATTGTGTATTAGGGTTTCTCTCTTTTTCTCTGTAAATTCGTTTGTTACCTGGGTTACGGTTTCATATTCATTCTGGTTCTTCTCTATGTGAATCTTTCTAGAGTCTTGTTTGAGGGCAGGGTGTTCCTTAAAGGGTATAGAGTGCTCTAGTGATTGTTGTGATTTGCGGGATAAAAAGAAGTGAATGAGTGTGTGAATGTGCAGTTGACAGTGAAGAAGATTCGTCTGTAATTGTAATCTTTGAAGTATTTAATCCTAGTGCAACGAGCTCCATATTTTGGAGTTCAACGTGGATGTAACTTGTTCTATATTGAACAAGCGAACCACGGTAGATCTTGTGTTGTGTGATTTTTTTTGTTCTTGCGTTTTCTATTTTGTACTGTGACTAATCTTGCAGGTTGAGGGATTTGTATTGATTTACAACAAGATATTATCATATTATCGAGAAAAGCTCGAATGCTCAAAAAAGTTTTCTACAGTTTTAACATTTCTATGTATAACTAACAAACAAGACTTTCTATATATTTTGTACTAACTGCGTGATTTAAAGTTGTCAATACACTTGTATTTTGTTACTTAAATTAAAAAGACTACACAAGTATTGAAACTAAGAATTAATATGCTTTAAGATAACATCTTATAATTTTAAAGTTGTCTATGCTAGTGGCTTATTATGTATCCGCAAGATAGAAGATGTGATAATAACTCTAAAACATAAATCATTGTCCCAAACAACTTTAAATAAATATTTTATTTCATCTTAAACCTTTAATGTAACATAATATATATTTTTTTGCAATATGTATATAATTATTACTATGTAGAGGTAAGTTCCTTAAGATAGGACTTAAAAAATTATAACTTATTACAATGTGAAATTTATTCTTATTTATAACTAGCCTAAGTTGAGACCGTAAGTTTTTATGACTACATAAAGGTTATTTCTATATAGAGTATTATTATAGAAATGTTCAACTGTATTACGAAAAAAAAAAAAATTGGGCTTAAGTCGAGCTTATTAGCCTAGTGGAAGATCCGAACTTGACAGGTATACCGTGAGCTTTTGGCCTGGTGGTCAAAGAGATTTACTTCATTCCTTGAGTTATTGAATTTAAATCTTGAGATCACCTACCACCAGAACATTATGACTTATCCAGTCCTTTAAGCTTGTAGAGTATTTAATAGACCTCAGAGATTAATTGAGGTACGTATAAGCAGACTTGAACACCCCCCCCCCCCCCCAAAAAAAAAAAATAATAAAAAACTTTATCATTATACCTATGTCTAACTAGATCAGAAAAATGTGTGTAATAAAGTTTTTTTTTTCAAATAATATTTTTAAAATGAAAAGGACAAAAATGTGTTTTTCAAATATAACAATTTATATATTTATTTATTAAAAAATTGAGCTCTTGTACTGATATTGTAATTTCTTTCCCACAATTATTATTAACAAATTTTCTTTTCCAAATTTAAAATGAATTATTTATAAATACAAACAAAAGTATTTAAAAGTGATGGGGGTCACAGTTTTTATGACGGGTCCCGTGGCGGAAAGTCGAAAAAGACAGCGGGGTGGCACGAGGGTGACGGCACTTGAAAAGGATAATTTCGTCTTCTTGTTGATATTTATTTGTGCTAAACGTCACAAGGTTTCATACTTTCGGCAATTAAAACGACACTTCGTTTGACCTTTTAAATGGGGCAAAGTCGCAAAGAGGAGATAAAGTTACTTTTACATTTAATCTGAAAAAAAAAATAGAAAAAAAATAAAGTTATTTTTTTGTCTATATTTTTGTATTACTCTTAGTTATCATAATAATAATAAAGAAAAAAAATTTAAAACGAAGTTTAAAATAATATATTATTGAAGTAAGACAGATTTGTGTTAGTTAATTTTATTATTTTGAGTGGTAATTATTATTTTATTTTAATTATGAATTTATATTTATGTATTTAATTTAAATTTTATTTGGTTTATTTAGGTTATTTTTAGAGATATTAGGAGTTGTCAATCGAAAAAAAAAAAAAAACTATTATTAGGTTAACAGTTTTTTATGATTTATCAATAAATTATTCCAACAACCAACGACTCCCATTTAATTTGTCTCTTAGAACTTAGAAAAATTAATTGGTATATAGTTATTTAATTATTTATGCATACGGTTTGCTTTGGGATAAAATCTAACAAATCAGATAAAAATAAATTGTTTTTCAACCTTCAATAATTATGTTTATGAATAGTGTTATTACCTTATTGTTAACATGTAGCAAATTATTTTATGTTAATATAGTTTTCAACGTTGTAAGTGTGGTGTGGTGAAATATAAATGTTATGGTTCAATATTACAAAATAAATATGTTACTCATGAGTCATGAATAAATATTGTATGATCTTGGCAACACATTATTATTTCCATTAAATTTCAACCAAAAAAAAAAAAAAAAAAATTGAATGCTAGAATTTGGGATTTCATGAGGTGTATTTGGACAACAATTTTGCTTTTGATAAGGAATTTATAAATCAGATTAATTAATTTGACAAGAAGAAGTAAAAAAATCTCTAAAAAGTACATATTCTGAGCCTTCATAGGCTGCAAACGGCTCAATATATTGTTGGCCCATCCTAATTTTTCAGAGAACAAGCATGTGTAAATAAAAATATGCATGCTTTGGCTCTAATATAAAGTGTATTAACGAGGTCAATTAAAGAATAGGGTAAGTTAAACATGAATAAATACTTAAACATGCCAATAAATTAATGGCTCTAATATAAAGTGCTTCATCGACACAATCCCAATATCATTTTAGATTCACAGAGATGTGTCACATTAACATATCGAGTACGTAAAAGTTTATTGTCTATTTATACGTACGTCAATATATTATTTAAGAAATCGTTTGATTTTGTGTCAATTATCTCGTTTCTATTGATAACGAGAATGATATTTTTACTAAGACTCTAAAAGTAAAATGACTTACATTAAACATCAATATAAACCAAAAAACAAAAAAAAACAAAAAAAAAAAACAAAAGCATTGGGATGAAGTGAGGAGTGACATCTTCATTCCCTTTATCATTAATTATAGTTGTTAATTACATAAGTAAACCACAGCCATGGCGTTTACAGTACGTAGTAATAATATATATTGATTTTACAACAACACGAATTTAATTCAAACTGTTTCACACAAATCTTAGAAAATGAATATAAATTCGTCGCTGTTATTTTTAGCAATATTTTGCTGCAATTAACGAATTGAAAATGGCCAAGTAGATAATTCACAGTGCATTGTTCGTCTCTAAGCTCATAAGCTGAAGATTATCCATATGACCACCTGACAATAATGAACAAACAGTCGCTGCGATATGCTTCGAACTCAGTCCTGCCTGTTCAATCTGATCCTTCTGTGATCCATGCTCGATGTACCGGTCAGGCAGCATCATCGGCCTCCACTGCACAAACAAAAAAAATACTTATTTTTAATTATTTGTTGTAAATGTATAAATAAATTTGGATTCTTTAACTACCAATCACAGGTTAACGTGGATTACCTTGACCTTTCCGTCCAGCAATCCATTCAAAGCCAAGAAATGGGAAACATGGGAACTGAATCCTCCAATGGAACCTTCTTCAACAGTGATGAGTATCTCATGCTCTTCGGTCAACTCTCTGATCAACTCGCCATCGAGCGGCTTGCAGAATCTGGCGTCGGCGACGGTTGCTGAGATTCCGAGCACTTTCAGGAGGTCTGCAGCAGCCAAGCAGTTTTGTACAATTGTTCCAAAACCCAAAATAGCCACATGACTTCCCTCCCTCAGGATTCTCCCCTTGCCAATCTCCAATGCTACTCCTTTGTTATTCGGAGGAATCACTGAACCAATGCCATTTCCTCTCGGGTACCTGAAGCAAGACGGCCGGTCATCGATGGCGGCTGCCGTGGCCACCATGTGCATCAGCTCAGTCTCATCCGAAGGAGCCATGACCACCATGTTTGGTAAACATGCCATGAAAGTAGTGTCAAAGGCACCCGAATGGGTTGGACCGTCTGCCCCCACTAGGCCCGCCCTGTCCATTGCGAATCTCACCGGCAGCTTTTGAAGGTCTACATCATGAACCACCTGGTCGTCAAATGTATCAAATACAGTCAGATTAAGTCAAAAATTTCTGCAGAAAACACTTTTTGCTAAGCTAAATGTTACTTCCAGAAGCTGATTTACGAAAACAAGCAAATTCAAATTCAAATTATGTATAAGAAGAAGGAAGAAATAGACACCAAATTTTTTGTCACATAGACAATCTTCTCCACGGACACGCATGTGAAAAATATNGAATTTAATTCAAACTGTTTCACACAAATCTTAGAAAATGAATATAAATTCGTCGCTGTTATTTTTAGCAATATTTTGCTGCAATTAACGAATTGAAAATGGCCAAGTCGATAATTCACAGTGCATTGTTCGTCTCTAAGCTCATAAGCTGAAGATTATCCATATGTCCACCTGACAATAATGAACAAACTGTCGCTGCGATATGCTTCGAACTCAGTCCTGCCTGCTCAATCTGATCCTTCTGTGATCCATGCTCGATGTACCGGTCAGGCAGCATCATCGGCCTCCACTGCACAAACAAAAAAAATACTTATTTTTAATTATTTGTTGTAAATGTATAAATAAATTTGGATTCTTTAACTACCAATCACAGGTTAACGTGGATTACCTTGACCTTTCCGTCCAGCAATCCATTCAAAGCCAAGAAATGGGAAACATGGGAACTGAATCCTCCAATGGAACCTTCTTCAACAGTGATGAGTATCTCATGCTCTTCGGTCAACTCTCTGATCAACTCGCCATCGAGCGGCTTGCAGAATCTGGCGTCGGCGACGGTTGCTGAGATTCCGAGCACTTTCAGGAGGTCTGCAGCAGCCAAGCAGTTTTGTACAATTGTTCCAAAACCCAAAATAGCCACATGACTTCCCTCCCTCAGGATTCTCCCCTTGCCAATCTCCAATGCTACTCCTTTGTTATTCGGAGGAATCACTGAACCAATGCCATTTCCTCTCGGGTACCTGAAGCAAGACGGCCGGTCATCGATGGCGGCTGCCGTGGCCACCATGTGCATCAGCTCAGTCTCATCCGAAGGAGCCATGACCACCATGTTTGGTAAACATGCCATGAAAGTAGTGTCAAAGGCACCCGAATGGGTTGGACCGTCTGCCCCCACTAGGCCCGCCCTGTCCATTGCGAATCTCACTGGCAGCTTTTGAAGGTCTACATCATGAACCACCTGGTCGTCAAATGTATCAAATACAGTCAGATTAAGTCAAAAATTTCTGCAGAAAACACTTTTTGCTAAGCTAAATGTTAATTCCAGAAGCTGATTTACGAAAACAAGCAAATTCAAATTCAAATTATGTATAAGAAGAAGGAAGAAATAGACACCAAATTTTTTGTCACATAGACAATCTTCTCCACGGACACGCATGTGAAAAACATGTTCACTATGAAGGAAAGAAAAAACCCAGAAAAATTGATATATATTACAACCTAATGAACCCATTTTTCCAAACATTTTTAATGTTTATACACAAAATATGATAAGCTTTTGTTAATATCAATCTTGCGATTAAATTAGTTTTGGATATAATCAGCCTAGGATCACTAGTAAATCTATAGATTAAAATCCCCAAAGAACAAATCTGCTACCACATTTATCTGATATGACATTTTTTTTTTTTTTTTTTTTAATTCGTATCTCTAATGCCACATTACAACACTAAATTTAGATTACCTGATCATAACCTCTTTGCATAAAGGAAGAATAGATAGTACAGAAAGGTTTAAGGCCTTCAGCCGCTAAACCAGCAGCAAAAGTAACAGCATGTTGCTCAGCTATCCCAACATCAAAACATCTCTCATGAAATTGCTTCTGAAATAAATTAAGCCCTGTGCCTCCTCCCATTGCTGCGTGAATCGCTACAATCTTATCATCCTCTCTAGCTTCCGCAATCAAGGACTCCGCAAAGTATTGCGTGTACGAAAGCGTTTTCGATTTCACCTTCATCTGTTTCCCAGACCTCGGATCAAACTTAACAACACCTGAGAAAAAAATAAAACTCTATTAATATATAAGTCAAATTCTTGAGTGTAATTAAGATTGTTATTTGTTGAATATTTTACCGTGCATTTTATCTGCAGCAATCTCAGCTGGAGCATAGCCTTTGCCTTTCTCAGTTATAATATGAATGAGAGTAGGTCCTGTGGCTTGAGGCAAAGCCTTAACTTGCTTTAAAATAAACACAAGGTCCTCCACATTATGTCCGTCAACGGGACCAATATAGTTTATTCCTAGTTCTTCAAAGAGGCAAGCTGAACCACCTGAAATCGCTCTAGAGTCGCCATTGATTTGTGCTCCGTTTTTGAGCTTTGACTGCCACAAAGGCCAATAATTTTATTAGTTATTAAATAATTAGTTTTTTTTTTTCTTTACAAGGAAATATGAAAACGAGTCAGATATACCTTGGTAGCTTGACATGGTTGGACGAAATCTGAACTGGATTGTAGCCTGGTTAAGGCTTTGCTGAGAGCCCCAACGGGCGGAGCAGGGCCGTCGACGGTGGCGGTAGGCAAAGAGACTTGGCCGTTATCGTTCAAGATAATAATAAGATTTGTGTTGAGAAAACCTGCATTGTTTAATGCCTCGTATGCCATTCCCGCTGTCATGGCACCATCTCCAATCACTGAAATTACATGGTTGTTCTTCCCTAACATGTCTCTGCCGACTGCCATCCCTGAAGAAAAAAGAAAGAAGAGAAATATATAAAGAATTATCATTGTCTCGTGTAATTATTTTATCTAACGTTTTTCTCATTTAATTATCAACTTACTACTTATTTCTTCTCCTGCATACGTGCTAAAAAGACAAAAAGCACAGAAAAGAAAGTTATTTTTTAATATATATTAAATTAATTTAGAAACATTATAAAGCGATATCTCACATGAAGAATTGAAGATTCAATAAAATTATCAGAAACCTGGTTTCTATCTCCTTTTCAAATTATGTGGACTCCCCTGTTTTTGGACCAAAATTTTTGTTTATTAAGTATTTTCTCAAGTTTGGTACAGTCCAAAATAGAAATAGGAACTTAATTTCTATTCAGCTTTAATGACCTTTTATATATGGAATGTTTTGACAAAAATCTCTCGAAATTCAAGGAATGTTTTTAATTAATGAGTCCAAATTTTTCTGTACCTAAGCCAGCCGAAATGCTAGTAGAACTGTGGCCAGCTCCAAAGGCGTCATGAATACTTTCATCTCTCTTGGGAAAACCTGCGAGCCCACACGTTTGTCTAATGGTATGCATTTTTGATCTCCTCCCAGTTAAAATCTTATGTGGGTATGCCTGAAAATTTTGAAATTATTTCTAATTCCAATTAGCAAACTTAATTAATCATCTCAATGAACAAGAAGCACAAGATATAATTTCTTAAACTAATTATTTGGTCACCTGATGCCCAACATCCCAAATGATTTTATCGTCCGGACAGTTGAATACATGGTGCAGCGCCACTGTGAGCTCAGTGACTCCCAGGCTTGAACTCAGATGCCCGCCGGTTTTCGACACTGTATATACTATCTCTTCTCGTAGTTCTGCAGCCAAACTCTCGAGCTCCTGTAGTTTTCAACAACATCAGGCTCGAAATCTGTCAGAAAACTGGCTCTGGTACCATGTTAGAAAAGTAAGTTTGACTTGCAGTTATACCTCGAGGGAAAGATTTTTCATGTGAACAGGAGAGTAAATGTTATCGAGAATAGGAGTGGATGGCTTTTCTCCGGAGAAATTGGGTAACTTTTTAAACTGTCCATTGATCTTTGTTCTCTGAGCGGTCGCCTTCACGGTGGTCTCACTTGTGCTATGGTTGTCGAAAGCAGCTCGTACTCTGTTGAACTGAAAACGAAATTACAGACGAAAGAAAGAGAGAAAGAGAAAGTGAGAACTTGGTTTGTAAAGTAAAAAAACAGAGAATCTGCGATCATAATTTCAAACAATCTCATGATTTCAGAGTTGCAAAAAAAATCTGCATCATTACGGCTATAAATAGTGAAAGTCTGTTTATATAACATTACTATTATTTCGAGAGTTGAAAGAGACAATTAAAAAAAACTAAGAGAGACCTTGTGATCAGAAGTGCAGGTTAAACCGAGAAGGTTTGAAGAAGAATAAGCGAGTTGAGAATTGAGGGAAAAGAGGAAACTTGTTTGAAGCAAACTAGTAGCCATTCTTCCTCTTCTTCTTCAGTTTCCAAGTGAAATGTATTGAGAACAAGAAGATATTGACAGTCTTGGACAATATCTGAATGTAGAGATGAAGACTGCAAGGCTATTTATAGCAATGTGAAGGAGACAAGTAGAGAATTTCGGAAAGAAAAACATGTTGCATGAGGGCATGGGTCAATTTAAAGGGAATAATAAATTATCAAATTTTAATAACTCAATAATTCAATGTTATTTAATAGATGAAATGAATGTAATAAGAAATTATTTATTATATATGCAGATTCACTTTGGATTTGTTGACACAAATTCAAGATGACATACATGGAAATGTCCTATATTATGGTAGAGAGTTTGGTAACAAAATAGATACATTAAAATTTAGGATATGTTCTAAATTTCCATATTTGTACAGAAATATTATTCCTGGCATAAAATGGATGTTCAAATCTAAAGGGGTGCTCATTTTTAAGCTGTCATTCTTTATTTTTTCTCTATTCAATCGCCGAGTTTACTCAAAAAAAAAAAAAAAAAAAAAAAAAAAAAAAAAAAAAAAAAAGGTCTATGACAGTATGTCCAAAACAATGTCATGATCTATAAATTCATTTTTGAATTTAGTAAGATACGAAATTCATGAATTGGCTTTTCGGATCGATATTGACCAAATTTGTTATAGAAAAGAAAAAAAAAAAAAAAAACACTGTGACATAACTCTTTAATTGACACATATTCATGCACATTTATTGAGTTTATGTATATAGTGTGATCCTATGCATAATTCGATTAAAAAAAAAAAATTATGTCAAATTATCTTAAATTTGATTGTCAAATGAACTATGATCTATGATCGGTACTTCTAAAATGATATTATATCAATTAGAAGGCAAAATTTGAGATGATTAAAGATATATAAAAATACTAAAAAATCATTTTAAGTAACAAAGAAAATGGTTTGGGAAGGATGCTAAAGTGTTCACTATTTATATTTTTGGATTAGTGATTAGGCTTAAATCAAACATGAAAGAGTGACAACGTGGCTTATATTGTGTGTAACACTCTTCATTCTTTCACTAAGGCTGATTCTTGTTTTCTATAACCAGGGGCGACCCAGGAATAAAATTTAGGGGGGTCAAAGGGTAAAGTAACAATTAACATAAAAATAAATATAAATAAACGTAAATATTTGTATTAATAGAATTCTCATTAACTAATACATTTATAATTGTCTTCGACGAGATTTCATCTTTTGAAAATATTGTATAATGACTTCATTATCAATACTATTAAATACATTCTTCTCTATATATACAACTAAACTATCATTCCACCATTAATCACTCATTCTATTTCGCAAACGATTCTTCACAACATTCATTGCTGAAAATGCTCTCTCTACACTAGAAATGGCAACCAGTAAAATCAATGTTAATTTTATCAACATATAAACTAATAGAAACACTCTATCCTTCTTAGTTTTAACTATCACTCTGGCAAGATCTCCAATCTCATTCAATTCCATAAATTTGACATTAAAGCGTACATCCAAAATGTAAATATCAAATTGAGAATCAAGCGCTATAAGTTCTAAGTTAGAAAAATCTTCTAGATAAAGTTAAACAAGGCCCATCCATTTTTGCTTATCAAAAGCAACAAAATTTTCATTTGGACATAAGCATGTCAAATAAATAAGCAATTCAATGTTTACCTCATTAAAACGATTATTCAACTCTTAAAGCTGCATATATAGGACACTAAAATACTTCAATACTGTAATGATACACGTTTGTGATACCTTTAGTCTTCCGTTGTGATCCATATTTGGAATATCAATGTCATGTTTGACACAAAAAGAATAAATTTTGCTAAGTAAATTCTCCCATCCACTCTCCCTCATCAATTGTAAAGCTTGCTTACATGCTTCAACTAAATTCATAGCATTTACAATATCTTGATCTTTTTTTTGTAGTGCTTGAGAAAATTCATTTGTAAAGTTAAGTAAATCTTTCATCATAAATAGACTAAACACAAAATTAAATGATTGCATAAATTTTAATATATTATTAGAGAAAAATAGAGATCGGAGAGATAGAGCAGGGCATGTTGGACAAGAGAAAAAGTTGGGATTGGAGAAAAAAATGGGGAAAGATATTATCAGTGAAAGTCAAAATTTTTAATTAATTTAATTTACTGTAATTTTGTAATTTAGTTTTTTTATGGGGTAAAATTGAAAAAAAAATTTAAANAAAAAAAGGTCTATGACAGTATGTCCAAAACAATGTCATGATCTATAAATTCATTTTTGAATTTAGTAAGATACGAAATTCATGAATTGGCTTTTCGGATCGATATTGACCAAATTTGTTATAGAAAAGAAAAAAAAAAAAAAAAACACTGTGACATAACTCTTTAATTGACACATATTCATGCACATTTATTGAGTTTATGTATATAGTGTGATCCTATGCATAATTCGATTAAAAAAAAAAAAATTATGTCAAATTATCTTAAATTTGATTGTCAAATGAACTATGATCTATGATCGGTACTTCTAAAATGATATTATATCAATTAGAATGCAAAATTTGAGATGATTAAAGATATATAAAAATACTAAAAAATCATTTTAAGTAACAAAGAAAATGGTTTGGGAAGGATGCTAAAGTGTTCACTATTTATATTTTTGGATTAGTGATTAGGCTTAAATCAAACATGAAAGAGTGACAACATGGCTTATATTGTGTGTAACACTCTTCATTCTTTCACTAAGGCCGATTCTTGTTTTCTATAACCAGGGGCGGACCCAAGAATAAAATTTAGGGGGATCAAAGGGTAAAGTAACAATTAACATAAATATAAATATAAATAAACACAAATATTTGTATTAATAAAATTCTCATTAACTAATACATTTATAATTGTCTTCGACGAGATTTCATCTTTAGAAAATATTGTATAATGACTTCATTATCAATACTATTAAATACATTCTTCTCTATATATACAACTAAACTATCATTCAACCATTAATCACTCATTCTATTTCGCAAACGATTCTTCACAACATTCATTGCTGAAAATGCTCTTTCTACACTAGAAATGACAGCCAGTAAAATCAATGTTAATTTTATCAATATATAAACTAATAGAAACACTCTATCCTTCTTAGTTTTAACCATCACTCTTGTAAGATCTCCAATCCCATTCAATTCCATAAATTTGACATTAGAGCGTACATCCAAAATGTAAATATCACATTGAGAATCAAGCGCTATAAGTTCTAAGTTAAAAAAATCTTCTAGATAAAGTTAAGCAAGGCGCATCTATTTTTGCTTATCAAAAGCAACAAAATTTTCATTTGGACATAAGCATGCCAAATAAATAAGCAATTCAATGTTTACCTCATTAAAATGATTATTCAACTCTTAAAGTTGCATATATAGGACACTAAAATACTTCAATACGGTAATGATGCATGTTTGTGATACCTTTAGTCTTCCATTGTGATCGCCCTTGAATAAAAAATTTGTCATCCATATTTGGAATATCAATGTCATGTTTGACACAAAAAGAACAAATTTTGCTAAGTAAATTCTCCCATCCACTCTCCCTCATCAATTGTAAAGATTGCTTACACGCTTCAACTAAATTCATAACATTTACAATATCTTGATCTTTTTTTTGTAGTGCTTGAGAAAGTTCATTTGTAAAGTTAAGTAAATCTTTCATTATAAATAGACTAAACACAAAATTAAATGATTGCATAAATTTTAATATATTATTAGAGAAAAATAGGGATTGGAGAGATGGAGCGGGGCACGTTGAACCAAAGAAAAAGTTGGGATTGGGGAAAAAATAGGGAAAGATATTATTAGAGAAAGTCAAAATTTTTAATTAATTTAATTTACTGTAATTTTGTAATTTAGTTTTTGTATGAGGCAAAATTTAAAAAAAAAATTTAAAAATAAAACTCAAGTGGGTCACTTGACCCCATGTGGGTCCGCCCTTGTCTATAGCTAGATTTTTTTTTTTTTTTTTTTTTGTTAAATTTGAATTTGAACTTTCTCTAGAGTTAATTTTTGCAAGAAAGAATTGATAAAAAGTTTATAGACTTTTTCTTTTTAGTTGCAGAATGGATTTTACGTTTGCATATAAAACTTTTGCGTATATATGTTTTAAAACTTGGACTACGAATTCCAATGCAAGACTTTCTTCCGCCGAGAGATTTTAACCATATTTTTATTAAATTAAATATGTAATTTTGTAGTTTCACTATTCTTAAAACATGTTGGAGTCTCACACCGACTAGGCACCCTCAAGCTTACTGGTTTATGAGGGAGTATAATCCTCCAATTCAACAAGACATTATTAGGTGAGAAGTCAGACTCACCTCAAATTCTATCATGGTATTAGAGCACAGGTTCAGTTGAGCTGAGTGCTTGACCAGCGGTTGAGGAGTTAGAGCCGACAACTACCTCCAATAACAGGCATGACCCAACATATGGGCTTGACCGTGAGGGGGAGTGTTGAAGTCTCACACCGACTAGGCACGCTCAAGCCTACTGGTTTATAAGAGAGAGTAATTCTCCCATTCAACAAGGTCATATTAGGTTTGGATAAGGAGTTAGACTCACCTCAATTTCTGGCTTGACCGTGAGGGAGAGTTTTGGAGTCCCACACCGACTAGGCACGCTCAAGCTTACTGGTTTATAAGAGAGGATAATCATCTCATTCAACAAGACCTTATTAGGTGAAGAGTCAGACCCACCTCAAATTCTATTAAAACAATACTAAACGATAAAATTTTACGAGTGGCATAAATTGACGCATACGGTTCAAGATTTTAGGTGATCTTAAAAAAGGAAAAAGTTGATATCTCAAGTAGAAAATGATGTATATCGGAGGTAAAATCACATTGATTGGATGTATAGATGGAGAGATATGGTAATTAGAACCAATAATACTATGCGTACTAACGAATTTTACTAACCAGTGTATTAACCTAAAATATAGTACGGGTACCATATGTAATTTTAATAAAGGTTAGTATGCTGATTAGTAAAATTCGTTA